CCCAGTGTCCCTTTACTGGTCCAGAGTCCAGACTAGAATTCTATATTGCATTTCACTGTTGTGTCTCCTCATTCTTCTCCGCTCTGAAATCAAATCACAGTCATTGTTTTTCATGGTCTTGACATTTCTGAAGCACACTGGGCAATTGTTATGTAGAATATCTCTCAATTTGTAGTTGATTTGATACTTCCCCATGATTCGGCTTCTGCACTTAGGCAGGGAAACGACTGACGTGGGCTATGCCTTTTTCAGTGTATCGTATCTGGGCACCTATTGGCTCTCTGTCTTGTTACCAGTAGTTTGGAACACAGTTGCTCACTTGATAAGATGGCATCATCTCATTTCTCCATTTTTAAAAATTTTATTTCCTAGGTATATGTTTAAAGAAACAGATGGTTTTTTAAAAAATGGCTTGTCGCTTGAATATTTCTAACGTCTTCTTGTGCTGTATGCAAACAACAACAACATGCACTTGACTAGAACATTTCAACTGTAGACCACTGCAAATCATTAAAAGTCTTCTCATGAATCTCTCCTGAAAATTTCTCTGTACGCAGTGGTGACCTTTTGGACCTAGTTTCAGCAGATGGTGGAATGGAGTAAAGGTCAGGGCCGTGGTGTCCTGAGATATGAACAGAAATTCTGGATAGCTTGATGGTAAAGAGAAAGAAGACTTAAAGAGGGACCCAGAGAAGAAAAGTGTTCGTAGGACCCGACCCGTGTTGTACATGCAGTTTTGCAGACAGATTTTGGCAGTAGAATAGGATATAGCTGTGACTCAACTGCCTTGTGTGAACTGAATGCGCTCTGGAGGTTGCCTGGCCTTGGAGTGTTCTGGGGGACATTTTGGTCTGAGTACTTGTGTACTGAGTATTGTGTACTGTACAGGCATGCTACTTGGGTCACTTGACATTTGGCTTGCTCCAATGCATGAGATATAGCAAAATTTTTATGAGGGCGTAATGTTCTATTTGCTTTGACTTTTCCTTTAAATGAAGATTTATGATAAAATATAATTTATGATGGCTTATTTGTACATCTGTCAGATACAATATATAAGCAAACTGATGTTTCTGAGTTGGAACAAAATGCATTGTTTTGGCTGATGTAAAAGAGAGCTTCCCAAATTTATTTGACCTCCCTGCCCACTTTCTCGAAAACAAAAGTCCCAAACTCAGTGCTCCCTAGAATCTGCCTTTTTAAATGAACAAACAGGTTCCCCCACAACTGCTCTGAAGGCTACTATCGCCCTATTAGATCTTTCTCGAGTCCAGGGGTCAGTATTACACACTTCGAAAAACACTGAGTTTTAGTGTCATTCTGAGATGTTCATTCTGATGAGACTGTAAATGTTGAAGAAAAATGTTGAATCTGTGTAGACTAATGGAGTGTGAGGCCTGTGGCCATGTTGAAAGACCTGTATGTAACCATATCATTGTTATAACAAGAGATTTTTCTATGATTATTTCAGTTTGTTGAATAATAAGTGTTTAGAGAGCCTCATACTTCCATGTCAGAGGTCTTTGGAATAAGCATCTCTCTTGTATGTCCTTCATAGTGGACCCAAGAGATGAAGCAGAAATAGTAAAGTTGGTCCTTTGAGCTAAGGACCTTTTAGCTTATTGGTCCTTTGAACTAAGACAGAGAGGGAAGAGCTGGAAATCTTTCAAAGCAAGAAGAGTTTAGTTTCCATTCTAAATAACCTAAGTCTTTACAGCTGAGTATATTAACTTCCCTCCCTCCCCCCCCAACCCCCCCCTCCCCCCGTCACCACACACACCTTGTTTGTAATAAGCTCTTAATTATTTTTTTGGCTGTTGAATCTTACAGTTGTGTGTCATTAATACTCATCATATTTTATCTATTTTTTTTTGGTGGGGGTGGTTAATGCTTTGCACACAGTGAGGGAGCCCAGGGCCTCCCTGTAATACTCGACAGTGGGGCCAGACAGTTCAATACTAGGTCCAAGGATGTGGATCTGCTAAGGCCTTGTGTGGTGGCTACCTTTAGGGCCACACCACTGGTTCCCAACAATTTCTTAGTTTTGGATAAAGAGAATAAAGACTGAATTGCTGTCAGCAGCCATAGCTTGAAATTAGATATTTAACAGTTGTTGACTCGGAGTAGAAAAATAATGGAATCATTATCCATCAGAGTTTGGAGCACACTCGACTCCCAAAGGTGATTGTATTTTAGAGGCAGCTACTGCCAGGGACACCTTTTGTTCATGGGAGCTGATTTGTCGTCCCACACAAGATTATTTGGGGCATTTTGTCTCTTCAGTGCCTGGAAAGATCTCTTTATGAAGAGCATCATTGCAACTGGAAGACAAAACACTTATAATATTTTTGCTAGTGCTTTAGATTTTTCCTGTATGGTAATGTCTTTAAGAATTTAAGCTCTGCCTTTGAGTCCAATCAAACAAGTAGATGGGCGGGATTGCTTCCGAATTTGGGCAGTTCAGAGCTTCATGGCTGATTTTGGAAAAGGCAAAGGGGTTTGAATTTCTTTGTGGGTGGAGACTCACTACACTTAAGAAATGAAATTTGATGCGTTGACAATGATATAGGAAGTTACATCCAAGAAGCTAGATTAATAGCTAATCTCTTGAAAAAATAACACAGAAAATGACCTTTTACTTCTGTCCTTTGAGGCAGATCAAGTAAAGTGCATTCTAGGCAGAAAAACCATTTTGTGTGAAATATACCCAAGGAAGCAATGTAACTTGTGCTCTGTAATTAGCCCTGTCCTGATGTCTGAGCTTCTAAAAAGCAATGCTGCCTTTGTAATGGAGTTCTTTTTAATCTCTTTTGTGGTGCATTTACATATTTTAATTGAACATTTCAGCATTTGGCAGGTGAGGCATTTTTGAATGTTAGCATCGTACAGTTCAGGTGTACCCTGTGGAGAGCTAGCATACTTAAAATGGCTAAACAGTGGAGTTAGCCCAGGCATGAGGGGGTATGTCTTGGGACCTCCTGCAGATTTCAGTATTCCCATGACTTGCTGGAAACTGATTTCACGAACTTTCAGTAGTTAATACCTCAGTGAGAGAGAAGGAGAATTTTGATCACTCTGATTTTAGGTCCCTTGGACATTATCAGGATTTCATTTATATTCATACAGAGTTGTTGTTATTGTTGTTGCTTTTAAATTTAAGACATAGTTATTTTGGAGTGCAAGGGTTTGAATTAGGATCTCAGACAGGAAAAGCATGTGCCTTACCACAGATTACATTTCTGACCCAGAAAGCACAGGGTTAATTGAATAGGGATTACTGGAGATCTGCATAGTTTCAATCAGGCTCTTCAGTTTGAACAGCCTCTTTAGTGTTTTAAAACCAGACATAGTTGAAACCCAAGCACAAAATTCTTTTTTTTTTATTATTAGTGAAACACCATGAGGTACAGTTGTAGATTTACAATTTTTTTGTGCTTGGGTTTTGATTATACAATGATCAGATACCCATCCTCCACCAGTGCCCATTTTGCATCACCATGGATAATATCCCTCCCACCCCCATCCCCCCCATCCCACCCTGCCTCTGTGGCAGGGCAGTCAAGCACAAAATTCTTAAGTCTACAACTGTATCTCATGGTATCTCACTAATTAAAAAAGAAAACTAGACATAGGTGGATGGGTGATAGTTCAAAGTGCTGGAATTCATGCTCTGTATGTGGGAGCCTTGGGTTCAATCTCAGAACACTTTTGGGAGCAACCTCCAGCACTGAGGTAGAAGTAGGTTGTGAGCATTGCTTGGGTGGAACCAAATCAGACAGATGAGATTAATAAACCAGCCAACTAAAACACACCAAGGTGTGGCCATGAACGTCTTGGGGTCCTATCGACTGAATGGGGTGCTATGCTGTATCGCAGTACCAGGACTCCACATAGAGCCCAGCTTGCTTGAAAAAATATATGATGCTCTCCTGGTGGCTTTGTGTTTACAGGTTCTCCCAAGGCACCACGTATTAATCCTGTGGAAACTCACCACTGAAGGTTGATTGCACAGCTGGTTCATTTCTCTCTAGACATGTGGACTTTGCCACAGAAAAGCTTATAATATGTAGTAATGTATGATTACTTGTGAACTGGTGTAACATACACATATGGTCATATATTAATGCTGCCTCTATTTCTTTATAGTTCAGCTTAGGAGGAAAGGAGTCCCCATCAAAGAGGGAGCACAGGACAAGAGATCCTCAGAGCTGCTCTTAGGAGTGGGACAGGATGTCCCCCCGGGCAGAGGTCTAGACTCCAGCCTGGCACCTGCTCACTGGCCTGCAAACTTCCTTGCTCAGAGTTTTGATGATTGGGATAGGAGACCTATTTGAGCATGTCTGCATGAGGAAGTTTTCATAGAACAAGGGGCCTAACTTGTTACAAGTGCAATTACTTAGGTGAGGTTTGGGCTCTTGTAGACCACAATTCCCCACCCCTCCACCCCATCTCTTCCCTCTGCCGTGCCTCTTTTTGTTGTTGTGATGGCCGTGGGTGTCACACACACACAGACACGGTTGTTTGCACACTTGGTTGTGCTGTTTGCTCATGCTTTAGTTGTTGTTTGCAATTTTAGTTGTGATACACACACCTGTTAGCGTGTTCTGTAGAGTGCTCACTTTGTTGTGGTATGAGCATGGAGTGCAGGGATTGAATTTGCAACTTCATTCCTTCAAGGCACGCATTATGTCACTGAGCTACATCTCTAGGCCTGTGAATACAGAGGGTGGTGGGGGACTTAAGATGGATAGCACAGTTCACCCTGTGTCTTGAAATATGGCTAGTCCAATTTACTATATGCTGTGATATAAAGTACACATTGAATTTTGAGGAATTCATATGGAAATAAGGTAAAGTAGCTCATTAAGATTACTTTGATTACATAAAATACTACACTAAGGGTATCCAGCCCACACGGCAGAGCCTGGCAAGCCACCTGTGACGTACCAAATATGCCAAAAACAGTAGCTAAAATGGGCCTCATCTCCCTAACCCTGAAGGAGTCTCCTTCAGGGAAGGAGTTGGGAAGAACGAGAGGGCTGTACTAAGCAGACGGCACGCAAGTCAATGGGTGGGAAGGCGCCCTGTAAGCAGCTGGCCACCAAGGCAGTTCAAAAGAGTGTGCCAGCCTCGGGCAGTGTGAAGAAGACACACCGCTACCAGCCTGACACCATGGCGCTGCGCGAGATCTGCTGCTACCAGAGGTCCACCGAGCTGCTCATCCACAAGCTGCCGTTCAAGCGGCTGATGCATGAGATTGCGCAGGACTTCAAGACTGACCTGCGCTCCCAGAGCTTGGCTGTTGTGGCACTGCAGGAGGCGTGCAAGGCCTACCTGGTGGGGCTCTTCGAGGACAGCAACCTCTGTGCATTCCCCGCCAAACGCATCACCATTATGCCCAATGTCATCCAGCTGGCGTGACCCATCTGCAGAGAGAGAGAGCATAAAGTTTACGATGCTAAAATCTCAGGGTTGGGACAAATGGAGATGCTACTGGCACCTGCTCGAGTAATCTATGATTAACGGGATGACAGTGACAGTGACTATACTAAATTTTACTTCTGTTGTTATTTTGGGTTTTGGGCCCCATCCAGTGGTGCTCAGGGGAACATATGGTGTTAGGGATCAAACCCTGGCTCCCTGCATGTAAAGCCTCTGCTCTTGCCCTTTGACCTATCTTTCTGGCTTTCATCATTTTTCTCTGGTGATTGTTATCAATTTCATTTTAAAATTTTATTTACTTTTACTCATTGACATTTCTTGATTTACAGTACTGTTAGTAATGGTTTCTCAAACATAATTCCAACACTACACCCAGTATACCCACCTCCCTCCCTTGAGAACTCCAGCACAATCCTTCTCAGTCCACCACACTCTTTCCACCCTGCCACACACACACACACACACACGGCACACACACACACACACACACACACACACACCAATTTTGTGGATCAGTTCTGCAATTGTGTTACTTTTGGACCTTTGCTTTTTTCTTTTTAATGTGCCTCCTAGAAATCTAAAACTATGTATGTGCTCTGGTTTGTAACTTTAGTTATATTTTTACCTGACCAACACTGATGTGAATCCTATAGGCTTGAAGAGAAATCTAGAGTGTGAGAATCTGATCCATGGGGCAAATTTGTTTGGTTAGTGACCATGAAATTAAAACCATTGGGATTTCTCTGTTTCTACCAAAGTCATTTGTTCATTCTGTCTTCTAAGGCAGAGCTTCTCAAACTTTTTTTTATTATTTAAAACACTTGGAGATCATTCAGAATTCCTGATGGTTTTCTAATGTTCATAATAAAATGGCTGGTGTCATGATAGTTACATCAGATTCATCTCTGAGGGTGGTACTGAGGCATCAGGAGTTGCTATCCTGTTCAGGTGATTCCAATGTGCATCAGTTTTGAAGATCAATGTTCTAAGGTAGTGGTTTTCAGCCTTTTCATTCCTGGACTGATACTGGTCCCTGGACTGGTGGTGATAAACTGCTTTAAAGTCTTAGCTTTCCAGGGCCTGGACCCTAATCATTTAAGTCATACAAGCTTCCCATTCCCAGAGAACGAGGTGGAGCTTGTTATTCGGGACAGTACTAAAAGAGGATTCATTTGGGGGCCTCATTTCTAAGTTCTGGCTATTTCTTCTCCATTTCCTAATAGTGTAGGCTGAGGCTTTCCTAGTGTCTATAAGTCTTCATGGCTTTTCCTATTCTTGTAAACTTTAAGGAGTTTTTGCATATTTCAGGTTTACATGAGGCCATATGGGCCTTTAGGTTTATACTGTTTCTTCCTTCCTGTCTTCTCCGCGACCCATTTTCTCCATTCTTCCCTCACTCTCTGCAGTCTGACTCTTAACAACCATGCCTGAATGCCCAGGGCTTCCTGGACGAGGTCATGGATCATTGTCTGTAGAGAAAGGTAGGGTTTTTACAATTTTTTTTGAAAGTTTCAATCTGTTGGGGACCAATGTAATAAAATTGCACAGCTCTGTCCAACTGCTGGAAAAATCCCTGAAAACTGTCACTCTCTCTACTCACCTCCTGCTGATCTCAAAGACAGTCAGTTATTCTTGAAACAGGTAGGGTTTATTTGGAACTAAAACAACAAAAAAGAGGACAGATTGGTTAGTGCCTTTATGGTAAGAGGTTCTTTCAGAGGGGGAAGAGCACCACCTTCATGGAAGAGGAAAAGTATGCTGGACCCTACATTTGGTAATTTGCATATGTGAGACATTCTCTAGCCAATTCTGTATCTCCCACTGCTTAATTTGAGTCAAGTTCCAAGTATAAACATTCATACTCCTTAGAGACCTGTTCCTGTCCTTTGGGGCAGATGAGGGTCTGCTGCCCTCCCTTTGAGAGGTTGTTGGCTCAGAGGTGTCCCTTCGGCTATCAGCCAGAAAGGTGCACACTTCCTGCATCTGCTCCTGCGGTGGATCTAGGAGTGGCTTTGAGTTGTTCAGCTGCTAACTTTCTGTGTACTCCATCTAAGCCCATTAACTGGTCAAGATAAAGTGTAGTATTAAACTGATGCATTTGTAGTGCAAATACAGTTTTAAGGTACACCTTCTCCTCCCCCCTCGCTGAACTGAACTGCCATGCTAAGCCCCTTTATATAATTTGGAAGATATTCCTGCTGGCCCCTTTAGAGGAAAGGTATTTTGCTAACCCATGCTCATTACGCTTTTTGAAAGGAAGGCTTAACAGTGACCTTGCTGTTTCCTAGGCTTTGTTAAAGAATATAACTGAAGGATGTACACACTAAATAAAAATCCCCACTTGCTCAGTGATATTTTTGTTCTTTTAGAAGAGGCTAGCTTTCCTCTTTCAAAGGACGTCGGTCATGACGTAAAATGAACTCACATTGGAAAGTGAGTCTTAAAATACATTCATCAAAGAAGCTTCCTGCTAACCTGTAAGCCAGAAAATTTATTTTCCTTACAAACCACTTTTCATTTCCAGGAGCTTCGTGTTCCAGGGAGCATCTGTAGCTGTGATCTAGCCCTGCCAGGTCTGCGAGATGGGCAGATTCTTCTGGAACCAGCAGCACCTTCCTCATGTTCCCGTTCTGTCCACACTAGGAAGTGCTGTTTGGAAGAGCAGAACGCTTCCACGGGTTCATTCCATGGTTAGAACTGTCCACAAAATGGATTTAGTTTTTACATGTTATGATAGTGTCGACTCTCTGAATTCAGTGGTCACATGTGGTTTCTCCTGTCTGCCTGGTGGGGTTATGTCTCTCTCCTAAGTGAGTGTTAATGTCTCCTGGGAAAGGGCTGATTCACCTGTGACTCATCAGGTCTTTGGAAGATTGGGCGTAGCCTGAATATACTCCACGATTTTGCAGTTTGTGCAGTGCCCACTTCACTTACCATTTACCTGAAATCTGTGGTTTTCAATTTTATTTTTTATTTTTTAAATAAATTTTTGAGTCTACAGTCCACAGGCAAAGCCTGGCAAGCTCCCCATGACATATTAGATATGCCAAAAACAGTAACAAGAAGTCTCACAATGGAGACATTACTGGTGCCCGCTTGAGCAAATAGATGAACAATGGGAGGGCAGTGCTACAGGACAGTGCTGCAGTGCTGCTAAATAAATTTTTATTTTCTATTTTAAAATAGATCACGATCATGATCACGATCATCCTGTTGTTCATCAATTGCCTCGAGCAGGCACCAGTAACGTCTCCTTCGCCCTAGCCCTGAGATTTTAAAAAGTGCAATATTCAAGGCTCTTTCAGAGTTAGGAGTATGAGACCCATCATTGTTACTGGTATTTGGCATGTTGGGTATACCACGGGGAGTTTGCCAGACTCTGCTGTGTGGGCAGGTTACATTCGGTAGCCTGCCAGGTTGTCCAAAGTAAGAATGATAATAAGATGTTGCGCGGCTGCAAATGTGGCTGCACGCTTCCGGTAGCTGGGTTTTATAGTCTCTGAGTCTTGGCCGTTGATGGGATTACACGGCACCTGGGGGGCAGTTGGTGGGTGTGACCCCTGCCTACTGGAAGATGGAAGATCTGGGTGGAGGATGCTCAGCTCCGACACTAGGTATTGCCAACTGGAATCCCACACAAGCGTTTGGCCAGTTTAATTTTATGCCTTTAGATAATCTGTTTGCTGTTATTATAAAAAGTTGACTTTTAACATTTCTCCCAAAATTCAAAAGTTTGGCTATTATAGGTCTGCAGAAATAGACTGATAGTTATTGATATCAGTTGCCACCTTTGCAAGAGGTGTTTGCTCTTTCCTCAGTTCTGAGAACCTTGCATGAGGCTGGGCATTTCTTACCATCTGAAAGTATTGGGTTTGGTTCCCCTGACTTCACATGCCCTTGGTAGTAAATGTGGGATACAGATTAGAAATTGGATTTAGCTTTTTAAAAATCACTTAAAATTCCTCTCTGAAGCTGTTTCTCTCTCTCTCTGTCTCTCTGTCTCTCTCTCTGTCTCTCTCTCTCTTTCTCTCTCTCAACGTAGGAGTACTGCTATTTATTTAGCCATTGATTAAGCTGTTAAGCTGATTGAATTGGGCATGAACTTCATTCACATTAAAAAAATTTTTTTATACTGGATATCCATGAGAGAGACCATTACAAAGCAGTTCATAATTGGGCTTCAATCATACAATGATCCAGCACCTCTCCCTCCACCATTGTACATTTCCCACCACCAATGTCCCCCATTTCCCCATTACTATCCCAAAGCCCCTGACCCCCAACTCCCAGGCTCCCTCTGTGGTGGGGCACTTTTCTTCTTGCTCTCTCCCTTTCCTTTTCCTTTCATGCGATATGGCTTGCAATAGAGGTGCTAAGAGGTTATGGTCTTTGTTCAGGGCATTCAGTATTTTTATCCGGATGGTAGGACTGGAATAGCTTTTCAGTTGGGTGGCAGCTTCGGGGTGTGGATGTGACTACTGAGGCTTCTGGAAGTGCAGGGAGGTGGGAGGAGGTAGCCCATTCCAAATCTGAGAAAGCCTGGAGATTTCAATCACAAAAGCCGGGATTTTCAACATATTATATCTTGCTGAGGTCCGTCCTGAGATGGTGGAGTCAGGCCAAGGGTATGGCAGTGATTTTGGATTTGTGGAAGCAACCAGCTGCCAGGGGCTCTGCTTGGGCAGGCACCGACCAACCTGACCCCCTGTGATTTACCCTGATCTGTTCAGCCATGTGTGGGTCTGAGATTAACTGTGGCTTTTGATCTCTTTCAATATTTATTTATGGGTCTCTGCAGCAAGACCAGTAGTAGAGCTTCCATGGTGGCGCTGGAGTTGGTTCGTTGGGGTGACGACCAGTGCTTCCAATACGGAAGTGGGGGGGAGGTAGCCCACCCCAACTCCATGAAGGCCTGGAGATTTCAGTCACAAAACCGCATACCAGAATTTTCAACAGATCATATCTTGTTGAGGTTCGTC